GTTCATGTTTGTGCTGATGTTCAATGTTTTATGTTATGAGTGCTTAGTGTATATTTAGTTGATGTTTTTCTTAGTTCATATCTTAGATGTCATTACTGTTTTTCTTATACATTTTATTGTTGGATGTAACTGGGACCTTGTGTACATAATTTCGCTCCACCACATGTACCACATGAGGTGCGAATGACAATAAAGAAACTCTGGCTCTGACTCTGACTCTGACATTTGGTCTGTGGGAGGAAACCTGAAGAAAACCCACATGTGCGCGGAGACATGCAAACTCCACTCAGAAAGGTTCCCGGCCAGGATTTGACAGCTCTACTAACTGAGCCACCGAGTCACTCTTAAGTTAAAAAAAAATGTGCACAATTTTGAACGTTCAATATTAAGCATGAAGACTATGAGCCTTTGCAACTCATGCCAAGAAATTAAAAACCCCTCCCAACAACGTTTCAACACATCTTGCAGACGTCCTCGCTAATGTCGTTCTCTACCTATTTGTCAACAGTTGCAGTGAGACACTGACAATATACAATGCTCAGAACTAGCCTATATGTATTATTTAAAAAAAGTTGATAATCAGACCAATTAATCAGTTGAATCACTAATATGTAAAGCTTGATTTTAGTTAATAAAAAATGTCTTTGTCTTGGTAACTGCTCACCTTTGTGGCCACTATATCTGTCAGCTAAATGCTAAAATGGACCTTTTATTACCCATTACGGTAATTAAATGTCCAACTGTGCAGAAAGCCTTTTTTTAAATAAGTCACATGCTTATGCTGGTGAAGATTCTCAGTCATCCAGGACATGATGAATTCAAAAAGCGTTCAATGCAAAAACAACTGGACTTTGTAACAGAAGACGTTTCGCTCCTCGGATGAGGAGCGAAACGTCTTCTGTTACAAATAAAGTCCAGTTGTTTTTGTATTGAACGCTTTTTGAAGTCACATGCTTGTTTCAGTCATCCTAAATTTGACTATAACGTTGTCATGTACTGCAAAACTGTAAGCTGTCTGTCTCGGTCAGAAACGTGTTTCACTGAAAGGGTTGTGAGTCTTTTGACGACTGGAAAAACTTGCCCCTCTTTTCATTGTATCGTGAGCATTCTTGTCTTTTCAAAGTAAAAATGATAGCTGCAGGTGTGTTCGAGTTCAGGCTTGTTGCCAGATGTGTGTCAAAGGGAATCATGAGAAAATGGTCATGGCCTAATAAAGAGCAAGTCTTCTAAAAGAAAGGAAGAATCTTCACATCTTTATTATGCGATTGCTTATTCAGCATTTACGCTACCGTTTTCCTTTTTGTTCGATTTGTTTTTTGTATGTTTTGCGAACGTTGTGCTTTTTCAGCCATTCATGTACCAAAATGTTCAGTTCATTTAAAAAATGGGTGCCGTGACTTTTAGTTTGTTACTTTTCAAAACGTTTAACATGATTTCATTTCCTTCATTGTTCTCTTTGAAATCTGCTCCAGCCTTCTTGCTCAGCTGTTGCCTTCTTTTGTTACTTCTAGCATTTACCTAACTATCGCTCTGCTACGTTTAGCTTCAGCTCTTTCAGCTTAATCTAACATTGTGCAACTTTTACCTAATTTTTGCCACCATGAGTTTTTAGCTTACCTTTTGCTTCTTTTAGCTTTGTTTCATCTCCTTCAGTAGATTTCAGCAATGTCATGTAGCACTCAAAATTCACAGCTTTTAAGAGAAAATGCTATTTCTCTAGCTTCTTGTTGATATCTAACATACGTGTACTAAAATGCCCTTGTCCTTCTCTGTTTTCTCAGTTCACCGTGTGTTTGCGTCGTGGGGGGCAAACTGTTTACCAGCAGGTGCTGTCTGTGGAGCGTCCCCCCACGTTACAAGGCTGGAACTGGGGCTTCTGTGGGGAGTATGCCTTCTATCACGCTTTGTATCCTCGCGCCTGGACTGTTTATCACCTGCCGGGTCAGAACGTCACCCTCACATGCAGACAGATTTCTCCCGTCATCCCTCACGATTACCAGGTAACCGACTAATTTCTGAACCTACTGTGGTAAAATCAAAAGGATTCCAAAGTCAATGATAAACAAATTAAAGTCCTAGCATTTCTTGAAGAAATGAATATTGCCTGCTGCCTTTCAGGCTGGAGTTTTAGACTAAAATCATCCAATTATGATTGAGATGAAAAGGGACAAAGTTCTGGCTGTTTTGGTCAAATTTTGTAAATAAGACGGAGTGATATCCTGAAACACTGCTAGATCTCATAAGGTATGTTAGGACAGTGTTTTCAAAGTGAAGGCCACCAGGGGGCGCTAGGAACGCTCAGAAAGCTGGAGAAAATATGATTACAAAAAGCAAAAATAAAAAAGAGATAATAATAATAAAAATTGCACACTAGGGCAATCTGTATCTGTCGTTTCCAGATAAACACGCCTAAGAGAGAGGTTAGATATCTTTTGTTTTGTTCTACTGTTCAAACAGTTTGTTGTTGAAAAGTCCCCCCCCCCCAGTGGGAATATAATTCAGTGTTTAAAACATGTTAGTTACTGTAATAATTAATTGAATGTAGTGAATAAATGTTAAAATATTCTAAAAGTTGATGTTTCTTTACATATTTTGTAGCATTGTTTGTGGGTTTATGAGGTTGGTCTCAGCCAGAAGCTAATGCAGATTGTGGGGGCCATGGCACAGAAAGGTTTGGGAACCCCTGTTTTAGGTCTGTCGTGATAAACAATAAATCAAAAAAAGAAGCTGAGAACTAGTTTACTGATTTTTTTCATTAAAAGCTTTGTTTGAAAAATGCTATGCTGAAGAGCTCAAATGGCCTAGCGTCCGCCATGTCACCGAATCACGTCAAGGGCCCTCCCTCTCATTTTTCTTAAAGAGACACACTGCTCATCTGAGAAGGGGTTCTCTGCAGACCAAAAGTGGGCGTTTCTGGAGAATAGGCGTTTGTGGGGGGGCAAACACTGATTGGCAGCTGTATTTGCTGCTCTTTAGGTAAGTTACGTCAAACTGAAGGTTTCTAAGAACCAGCGTTAAATCTGCTGTCAAACACAAGAAGATTCTCTTTAGTCTTTGGGCTGTAGGCTGCACCTGACACAGGTTGGTTTGAGTGTGGTCTGGGTACAATGAAATATGAAGCATATGAAGCGAAACCTGCTCCCATTTGTTAAAAAGTCTGGTCTCAATTAAAGATCATGAGTTCTGTAACGAGATAATGGCCCAAAACAAAAGCTCAAAACAAAAATTTACTCTTTAGAAGTTCTTCTATGAGATTTGATTTATGAAAGGAGCTGAAACATGGAGTAGGGTTGACCCTTAAAATGTGAGACAACTGAGGAAGTTAACCAGTAAACAGAAATACCTGCTGCAGTTGCAGAAATCTTACAGAAACCAACAATCACTCATCTGTAGTGACTGCAGGTTGAACAAGAAAATGTGAAGTTAAAAGAAACATCCTTTGTCCCAACACCAGTTTAAGTATCATTACTATTTTGGTTACTTTATTTTTCTTTCTTTATGAATCGATTGTAACTATTTTCACATTTTTCAACAACCACAATGGATTTTGGTTTTTATTGTAATGGCTAGGTATTAAAAAACAAACATTTAGCCCTCCCCACTACCCAGTTATGTTGCTCTTATTTTGAAATGCAACCGGAAGTTCTGTGTTGAGAGGCGGAAAGAGAAGTTATGGAGACGCCGCTAATGTTGAACCTGAGACGCCGCTAATGTCGAACCGGTTAAAACCATAGACCTAATATGCCTGTGGTTAACACAATCTGCCAATAATGCCTTGTTTTTAGACATAATATGTCTGTGGTTAACACAAACAGCTTTTTTTCGTTCAGCCTTTTTCTTTTTGTCCAATCAGATGTGGCCCTCAAGACACGCCCATTTTTCTATCATCCAATCAGATGTGGCCCGCCAGACACGCCCATTTTCTTATAGTCCAATCAGATATGGCCCTCCGGATATGCCTCGTCCAATCAGATGTGGCCCCCCATATACGCCTTCCGAATTTGTCTGCAGAGATACCTACTTGGCTCATCTAGCCATCCTTCGGTTCAAACAGTCTTATACTGCCATCCGGTGGTCAAGAAAATGTGCTACATTCAAAACAAAACATTTCTTCTAAAATTTGACAATTACTAATTATTGTTAACAATAATATCGTTTATCGCAATAATTTCAGAGACAATTAATCGCTCAATAAAATTAGTTATTGTGACAGGCTTTACCCTGTGTTAGCGCTCAATAGATGTTGAAAATGACTCTCAGCTGCTACTAATTAAAATGTTAATTCAGTCAATTGGACTAATATTTGTATTGGCTAAAGATGAGTGGCGGTGATGACTCTTATAAACTGTGTTGATTCCAAAAGCTAAGAAGTTGAGTATATATGAACAGTGATTACTTTCTGAATGTTTCTGTAACGAGTCTGTATGGATCGGCACAACACCTGACTCAGGACAACATTAAAATAAAAGGTTTTATTTTATTAAAGGCGTTCGTCTGAAGGATCTGAGCCTC